GGCTCGAGCTGAAGGTGAGCCGGTACCTGTGAGCGGATATCGTGCAAAACAGATGTGGCCAGATGTTGCAACGCAGCAGACACCCGCCTCTCGAGGTGCACCTGTGGCTGCGTTTAGATGCAGAGGAGTCCGCCGGTCGCCGATGCAGCGGGCGGCGGACTCTAAACATCAGAGCTGAGTCTGGGCTACGATCGACTCTGCGTGTGTGCAGAGGCAGGATGTTGCTGTTGCACACATGCTTTCAGCTCTTTTCCTGTTAAACTCACTTCCTTCAACGCTGCGTGACCAACAGACACATGGAAACCACTAAAGCTCGTCACCTTTGCTCAGTCACAACCACGAACAGCCGACCAAAGGAGAAGCTGCCCGACTATGAACGTCAGAAACTCACTTTTCAATCTGATAACGTGAAACACAAACTGCTTCTATAAGCAAATACATACCAGAGACATGGCCCGGGCCACCCTCTGACTGGCAATGTCCCCCCAAAAGTCTCCCATAGCTGCTCAGTCCAAAAACACAGACTCAGGGTCAAAGAAATCCTGCCACACGAGAGAAAAACTGTGGAAGTGTCCCACAGAGCTGTGAAAATCAAATCCAGCAGGTCTGCAGCTCGAACACAGCGAGTGTCCCCGGGACAGTAAGTGAATCCAGAGCCTCGGATACGATTCAAGTATTTATAGCAGAGCGTGTTGCTTCACTGAGCGAGCAGCCAGCCTGGAAGTCTGCAAACACAGCAAGAAAAAAAAAAACACTGAAAAAAAGGAGGCGGGGCATCTGCTGACAGAGGCGTCATCCACATTTCTGAGCAGGAAAAAAAGGCAAACAGAGCAAGAGCAAACTGAAACCGGCCTCAGCTGCCCCGTTTTCCACCCGACACGTCCGTACCCGCAGTGTTTACCTTCCAGGTCAGAGGTCACACACGAGAGACTCCTTTATAGTCACAGATGTTCAAATCAACATGAAACGAACCAAAACAGACGATCACTCCTCTAATGATTCACTTTCTTTACTTCCTGCTGTACGGTTACTGACGCCTGTAATTACGTTTTACTTCTTTAATGTTGCCACTTCCATATTTTATTTCCATATTATTTGCTTATTGTCTAGCGCATTTATTTCCTTATGTATTTAT